AGTAAGTTGTCCCTCATATAAAAAAAAATAATTCAGGGATATTAGACTCTCTATTTTCTGGTCAGACCAGTATATATGTATTGGTAAAGTGTAAATATTTTTAAAGTGTATGTAGTTTTTTTATATTTAAATATTATCTATAAGCATTGTGACCTTGATCTTGAAATAAAAAACAACTTGTATTAGTTGCAATGTTTTGTTGTTCATAAACTATCAAATAGATTTATCTGGTCTACACCAATGTACAGATGGAATGCTGAAATTAAGACTTGGTAGAATAGTTTTGTTGTTCATTTTCCAATCAAATAGATTTACCTGGTCTATACCAATGTACAGATAGACTGCTGAAATTAAGACATTGTAGAATTGTGTATGAACCTAAATTCAGTTTTGAATGTTATACTTGAAATTAATCTGTTCATGGCTTTTGTAGAGTGGACTAGCACTGACAGAAAGTATTTAACAGAGAAGTTGAGTTGTGATGAAGGCATTGTCCAAGTAACTTAGGCATAGTCCAGGTAACTTAGGCATTGCCCAGGTAACTTATTTCAAACACAAGAAGACAGATTGATAGTAGTGCCAGAATATGTTGAGGGTGCTAGACTAAGATTGGATGACCCAATCAACAGGGGCACAATTGTGTACTTAAGAAATCATACAAATGAATCTGACATAATAAAACAATAGAGAGTTTGGCTGCTATACTATTAGGTATATGGCCCAAAATACAAACTTTGAAAAGCCCTTTGGCTACTCAATTTTTTTTAAAATTAAGATTCATCAAATGTTTCCTTTGCATCCTATAATCTTTAGTTCTAATCAACCCTTTCAAGCGCTGTTTCCATATGCCTCTACACATATCTTAAAATAATGGTCCTCTTTTTTTTAGTGGATTTTGAGGTCACTTTCCCCAAACTTATGAAAAAGGGTTACACAATTTGAAAGTGAACCAAATGTCCAATAATTATTAATTAAATTTAAAAAAAAAAAGCAAGAATTTGATAATATAGAGAAAACTCCTTTTATTTTACAGACAACACAGCTATTTCTTCTCTTAATATTATCCAATAATTTTTCTTAGATGTGAATTACAGAGAAGCAATACATATTTACGACCCAACCTTCAATGTACTTGCCATGAGTGGGGCAGGAATGTGTCAAGTTTTATCACTTGTATTATGGTGTACACAGGCTCAAACAACAAAAAAAGAGAAAAGTGTGTTTAGGAATACAAGAAATGCACATAAATAGATTTATATTATTTTTATATTTACATGGCAAACATCACACCATTAGATGAACTAATGAAAACAATTATACCTTAAAACCAGGGTTACATCAGCCTGAGACACACACTTGGAAATTTCCTGTAATATTTCCATTGTTCAACTCAGTTATATCAGCATTGCAAAAACTCCAACATCATTAATTTTTTGTTGAAAATAACAAACAAATTGTAGTCATGATTATTTACAACAGGTTTTCCTGCAAGCCTTTCTGCAGAATAATCCTGACCTAAATGTCTGAAATTTGAATTAAGAGAACTATTTTAGCTGAGATTTGCTTATGACATGCAGCAACAGAATTTGTAACCAGAAGATTGCAGCTGTCCCAAATGTACTTTATCTGCATCAATCCTAACCAATATGCCATCTTTTTTTCTAACACTTGATCCACAGCTAAAACAGTGCCTTAAATTGCCTCTGTCTCTTGGCTCGATCCAAAGATGGATTCAAAAGGCGTCCAAACCACCACACAAGAATTTTTTTATTATAAAGACCCAAAGTCACACAAAAAAACAACATGTGCCACAAAAAGGGTTGCACATTAGGATGCCAACCATCTATCTAAAAAGTGTCAAACGCCCAATTTATAATGTCTGCTTAAGAGAATGGTGGCATGATGTACCGTGAATATACATAGATAAATATACAAATGTAACAATTCAATACAATTTAACTTACATTTCTTCAAACTTGGTCTATGTGCTTATTGCAAAAACGAACATGGATAGTTCTGTTTTCTTCAACAGCAACTTATTTTTTTTATAAAATCCAAATTAAGTGAAAAAATATAAATATAAAAAAATCTAAGAATGGAATTCAGTGTTGTAATCTAACATTCAATCAGGTGGTCATTATGTATGTACAAGTTAAAAGTTAAACAGAAATCTAATTAGGGTCAACAGAATTATTCTTTCAAATTAGCATTCAACATCTGAAAGATTCTAAAGATTTCCATAACTTTATAAAAATAAAGATTAATAAAAGAGATTGGCTAATTGAAAAAAAAATAATCAAGTAATAAATTGCACTTTTAATTGTATTTTGTACTTTTATACTGGTCTTGATGAAAATAAAATCATGGACGGAAAGCTATTCAAATAAATATGTATAAACAGCAAATAAATATATAAAATTTTGCAAAATGTTTTGTATAAAATATTATGCTTATAACAAGTACTGTTTTTTTTATATTTTATAAATTATTTATTTGACAATTGCTCGTTAGATATAAAGGCTGGCAATATGAATAGAGGACGGACTTATACAGCTTAGGTTGGTTCAATAGATTCAGATTTTCTTTCTATTTTAAAAAAAAACAACTCAAAACAGAGTGAATTTGATAGTCACAGTTAGGACTCATCAATGTTTAGATAATGATTTATGTGCAGTACTGCTAGTGTTCAATGCTCTCTCTCATTATTACAACTACAACAATGTTGTGATTTGCTGGCCTAAATTAAAGCTTAAAATTTTCAAATTAATTTGTTGAAATTAAATGTTGAAATTAAATGTTGAAATTAAATTTTCATATTAAATTTGATTTTCCAAAGACATTTATGTTTAGATATGTAAACACACAAAGCAAGTACTTTTAAACTGTAATTTCCAACTTAATGAAATGTAATGTAGTCTCAAATATATTTTTTTCTTAGGAAAATTTTAGTTCAATAAATGAGAAAGAGTGTTTAATTTTTAAATATATATAATGAGCTATTTGAATAATACTTTTAAAGCAAAGCCTATAGGTGCAGAAGTCTTCATTCTACAGCACACTGAAGGAAGTAACACCCCTTATATATAAACTAATACAATAGTAATAAATATGCAGTGCCAGTAAAGACTAAAGATCTTTTGGATAAATTAGCTCAAATCTCTGACATTTTTTTTTCCTTATTTAGGCTTGTAAAAATAAAAGAAAACAAAATACTCAAATTTAAAATAAACTATTTAAGAAAAGACAAAAGAAATAAATATAAATTAATATTTAAACTAATTAGAATGAATAAACATCAAGACATCTCAAACAATTCTAAATAATAATACAGAAATTTTAAAAAATGAAACAATTTAAAAATCAATATAACGAAATGAGAATATTGCAAATGTTCTGCAGACATGTAATATTTTAGTGATGGAATGGACGTGATAATGACCAGCTTCAAATCCTGCCAGTATTTGATCATTCAGCTCATGTTAGTCTGGGACCACACTTTTTGCTACATCTGATTTACTGGTCAACTTTTTGTTCAAATCTTTCATTTAAATATCACTTATATTACACGAAATACTGGAACCATGGGGCAAAACAACTTCAATGCAAAAAGATATCTTTATATATATATATAATACTTATGGTGATAACACAGAATACTGTGTGTTGGTCTACTGCTGTATCACAAATTATCACAAGAAATGTGATGAAACTAAAGAAAAATCCATGATAAACTGCAACGCAATACCAACAACAGAAAAAAAATGGTTTAAAAAAAACAAGTTAAAAATCTACACAAGCAATGGTTACGGAAATTATCTTGATGTAAAAGAAGTCTTGTTTATTTCATAAGTCCATATCTTTGTGTGGTCTTATTCTTAAAGCATTCAAAACATTTTTAGGTTAGCTGTGTCATTCTTTTTCAAAACAATCTTAAACAATTTACTCTCTAAAGCTCCCATTATGGAGGCAACCACAAAGTTTTTTCATCAGACCCAAAGAAGCACTGTTGGCAATATTACAGTGTATTTAACATTATAAGTTTATGAATTTAGTTGAATTTTTGACTGCCAATCTCTTTACAGATCCACATGTTTTTGTACTTGAAAAAAAATCCAAGAGAATTAATGTAATTAGGAGCCTTGTTTACTTTGTATAATACATGCAAAGTCTGCAGTATCTCTTATGATAAATATGTTGGGGCTTTTTTGTATCTGATATTTAACAGAGACATCTTGGCAAATATCTAGTTGTTTGATGTTGTATACTATAAAATGGTATTTGATTTCCATGGCCTTTGGCTGTACTGGTCTGTGTTGCATAAATCTTAAATGAAAACTTATTCGTTATCTAGCGTCATCACACTCCATATCTTGTAGAGATAATCTTAACTTTTGCTATTTATCAGCCATATATTCAATCGCTTAAAAAACTTCTTGAATGACTGTAAAGCCGGTTTTTTTTTTGTTATACATAAGAGTAACATCATCTAATAAAAAAGATGTTGGGTTTTTTTAAACATTTATTTTGGCTATTACTATTACAGAATAAAATCTCTCAAGTAGCATTCAGTATAAAACTACTTGATTGCAACTGTAAGAGAAATAAATATATATGAAATAGAACTAAAGATATAAACTCTTACAATGTACATTATTTTGGTAAGATATATTTGCATAAAGTGACACTACAATTTCACAATGACATTACTGTACAATTATTATTAAACTTGTGTGGCCAAGTGCTTTTTAATAGTGCATTTTACCAGAAATTTTCAACTGTTTCAGGATCCTAAATCTAATCAAATCATACAAAGTTGAAAACTTTAACAATTGAAAAATTAAAGGGGGAAGGTAACTAGCATTACATTTTTTTCCCCCTATAGTTGCCTGCAGTGGGTGAAAATAATAATTTTTCCTATTAAACCATAAAGAAAATATTAATAGTTAGGTAAATTTTTCAAACTTGAATCTTTGTTATATAGAATAATAAAGAATTTAGAGCAGGTTAGTTTACCTGGGTTAACAAATCCTAAGATGTTAAAAGGAGTTTATAGTATTTATAAACAAAGATCATTAATTCAGCTGTCATTAGCATTGTTGGACTTTTAATCTACATACATCAAATTGATGACCTTTTGAATGGTCCTGCTTTAGCTTCCTTCATTTTAAACAAAATGTGTGTGGTTTTAATCGATTTAATCAATATGTCAATTATATCATCCTTCATTGTTTATGGTTTCAACCATTGATTTAATCAACATGTCAAATTTTATCATCCAAAACATTATAGAGTTCATTAATGACACCTCATGTATTCTTCTACAGGAATGACAGAATGACTAGCTCAGCACTAACCGAATTTTCCCACTACCATGAGATGAAATGAAGTAGTGCCACGACAGACTATATGCAGCACAAGGACACAATACTGATATGGCAGAATGGATTACACTGACAACAGCTAGACATAAACTCATCATGAATTACTCAGTTTGAACAAATCCAGCAGTACATAAGAGCAGGGCTTGCGACACCAGGAGTTCTCCACAACACCAGGAGCTCTCCACAACCCTAGCGCAACATAACTTACAAGAGACAATAGCTGTAGTTTTTTTTTCCCCCAGGAAATGAGGGAACAAATTGTTCTATTAATTTCAAAGGAAACAAAATAAATCTCACCTCAGTCAAACTTTTCAATAATTATACCATTCTTCCTAGTTATTTGCTTTAAAAGCAAGGTGCCCATAATTTTTCTGACCTAAAGAAGTTGTTAAAATCAAAACAATTTCCTTTTAGTGCAGCTTGGCTTTTAAGTTTTAAATTCACTTAATAAAACATTGAGAAATTTGTGCTCAGATAGACATCAAAAAGATAATAGATAAATCATTACATTTTCTTTCCAGCCTTTGGTCTTAAGAAGAAGCCACAAAGAGCCCATGAAAATGCTCAGTAAAAAAGCTTGATCTTTTCATTATCACAGTTAATTAGTTACCCATCAGGTTCAAGAAAAAAAACAGGCTCACAGCTATTTATAGTGTCCCTACATGACCAGCCAATCAGATTTTTATTTCCACCAAGGACCCACCCTAGACCAGTGAATGTCAAGACGGGGCTTCCAGAGGTTCCAAGGGGGATAAATGGGATACTATCCTCTTCAACAGCTGAGTTCCAACCGAGCAGAACTCCTCATGCCACAGATCCTCAATGTATTCCCTCATCTCCTCATCAGCAGCGTTGGCCAGTGAGTCTCCCAATGCTGAGTCTTTGTCTGGGGAAAAATACAACATTTTTTTTATTTGTCAAACTATGACAAGACCAAAAAATAAAATATTAAAATTAGATCTATTAAAAGAGCACCATTACACTTTTTGGTTAGTGTAACTAACATTTTGTTTTCTAAAATATGACAATCCAAGTTTTTAAAAAGTTGAAGCCAATCCACAGGGCCACACTCTTCACAATCAAAACAATAAAAAAAGATTATTTCTGAATTTTAATTTTAAATCACTAAAATGTACAAAACCAAACTGAGTTCAAATGAGGTACCTAAGTATTCTGTTAGTATATCTGTAAGTTCAGTTGCCTCCTCCTGCCCAAAACTGTTGGTACTTGAATGAATGCGACAGCTGTAGTTGATCAAAACTTTGCACACACATCCACTCAGTTGCCAGTCCTCTCTGCCGAAATCTCGCAACACATCTATCAATCTGAAGGGAGAAGATCATCTTACAGATTCATTTTTTATTAAAAAGTAGAAATGGTTTATTTATTTACAGTTTATTAATTTCAAATGGATTTCGGATATACATGAATAGATGTAAATTAACAAACATTATTCCACACCTTCATAAATTATTGAAGTTTTACATTTTACTGCGTTAGAAATTACTATGAAATACTGAAGTTTCAGAAACCCAAAGATATAGTTCCCATAACCAACAAAATTAAAATAGCAGGTCATTCATTAAAAAGACAATTCCCAGTAACTATTTCTTTATTACAAAAAAAAACTTTTAAAACACAGAAACTTTTCAAAAAAAGTTGAAACATCAAGTAACAGAACTGGCTTCTTACTTTTTAATCCCTCCTTCTTTTTTTAACATAGATCTTTTCTCTTCATCAAGCATGAAGTTAATGAGGACACCACAAGCGATGAAAACTACCTCCCTGCTGCTGGAGTCTAGTAATGTCACCATTATTGCATCAACTGAAGACAGAGAAAAAAGTAAGTTTCAAATATGGTATGTGTAAAGGCTGGTTTACCATTATGTAAATAATGTTTGACAAGACATTAAATCAGGGATGGGCAAACTTCTGGGGCTGGGAACAAGATTCAAGAGATAACAGAGGCACAGTAGCTATAAATAGTGAAAGCGGGATTTGGTGGGTGGATCATAAGGAATTAATTATTTTAAAATAAAAAATTAATATCACACATCATGTGGAATTCAGTTAATAATCATAGTAGTGACATCTGGATTCGAAAATTTAAATTACACTTTCTATTTTTTCTTTTCCATTTTAAATTATTTAAATTATTTTATTCTTCTAAAGGGAGCGCGAGCTATTCAAAATGGTGGCGCGAGTCACTATTGCCTCACTAGCCATAGTTTGCCTATTCCAGCATTAAATGATTGACAAACGATTCAATTAACAAACAACTTTCTAATGAATTTTTGTATTTTCTTAAACAATAACAGTTAACTATGCATTTATTGAATAATATGAGCAAACAAAGCTATAGGAAACAGAAATTAATAATTGCCAGGACCTAATGGCATTGTGGAAATGAATAGATCTTTATACCTTTATTCTGTGATAAAAAGTCTCGTATCTGTTTGTGTCTTGTAAGGTTACCAAAAACTCTAGCTGCCTCTAGGATGCCTTCCATGTTATTGTTCATGATTAACTTAAGCAGGCCTGTAACAAAAGAAAAGCACATTTATTTCTCTGCTTTGTTTGAGGCAGCTGCATTGTTCAAGTACCAGCATGTTTAATGTGCTTTCAAAATTGTATCCTTAAAGCATGTGCTGATAAGTTTTGTTTTTGAAAAGTATTAACCCACCAATGTGCCACAAATGAGCTGTTAGATGTTGAAACATTGTGTGATGATGTACAGAGGAAGTATGCAAGTTCTAACTATAATTTGATGTAACAACATTTGGTCAAAATGATATTTTGTGATTTTTACTGTTGAAGTACAAGTGAAAATATTTCTTTTAAAAAGTTTTGTCAGGTGAAGTCAATATGTATGACTATAGCAATAACTATTGATCGGTTAGTAACAGCAAGTCTGTAGGAGCAGTTCTTTAACCATTTGATTTTTAACTTTTTAAAAACACATGTTGATGGACTGATGAGGACCTCTTCAAATTTAATTTACTATTTTAGTGATTTGGGTCCATGAGCCATTTCAATGGTAAAAGAATGTGAACTCTTGATGAGGTTATCTGGAGCTCACATGAGATGGTCCATGATCTCTTAATGAAAATAAAGCTACAGACGACCATGAGAGAGCACTTAACAACATGACCATATTTGAAATGTAATTCATTGTGATATTAATGCTAAGAATGTTTAGTTTGGAAAATCATATTAGAACCCAAAATAAAAATTTAGAACAAATTAGGGCAGTTATCACAACTGAATATGTAAGTCATCATTCTGCCAATCGGCTTATTGGTACATCCCTAAACTATCAACTAATAAGCTTTACAAAAATTTTAGCTTTTACACGTACTTCTTGCCATGTTCAGATGACCTGCCATTTGAGACTCATCTTGCGTTGTGTAATAGGACAAGTTATTTATAGCAACCACAGCATTCACAACCAATTCCTCTTGCTCGATGATGTCCTTCTGATCTGTTGGGGAAAACAACAACATTTTTACCCTGGCAACAAACATGCACTATAATTAAAATAAAGAAGGAAAATGAAAAATAGTATTTAAGGACTAAAAAAATTGCATTTCAAAGACATGACACAAAATATAGTTCAATATTTAGCAAAAATCCATCCCCCCAGGACCATAGCCAGCGTGGCCTTACAAGAATGAAACAAAGAATGGAACTCACCAACAACATTGAGCAACAGCTGCAAGAAAACAGAGTTTTGGCTGATAGCAGATCCCACCTCTTCATTGATGGTCAGATTGGCCAGCACTCTCATCACCTGAATTAGAGGAAGACGTGCCATGCCAAGGATAAAGAAAACACCACAGTTAATTTATGCATGACCAACTGCCATTTCACAGTCATGGTCTCTCCCTGATTCGCACCTATTTTTTTTAGCCACTTCCCAATATTTATCATCGCTTTAGTAACAAGATCATTTATAAATTTTTTTTAGAAATTAAAAATGTGTCATTTTGAATTTACAAGGCAGCCTCCTCACATTTTTATTTTACAGGGGCAAATTATATGAAAAATTCATAACTGTAATTAAACCACTGTCGCTAATTTTATGGCTAAACTTACTTTGATCAAAACATCTTCCACCTTGTTCACGTCAGCTTCTGTCTCACTTTCAACTTTTCCATTCAGCTTTGAGTCTTCACTGTTGGCACTTGCGCAGGTTTTACCCTAAACACAAAGTTAAATCAACTTGTGCCTTTATGTGGCCACACTTATTCAATAAATATTATACAGCTTCTAAATCCAACATTCGCTGCTGTTTTTTGTTGGTTAGATATGTAGCAGGAAGTACAGAAATTTGGGAGAAATTAAATTAGCAAGTGTGTGGTTAAACATGAAGATTAAAAGGATTGTGCTTTGCCTAAAAATAAACTGAATGTAACGATTAATGGAAGTTTAAGGAATATGATAGTTATTATGATTCAGAAGATGCTATCATAAATAAAGGGTAAAAAAATTACACCGTTAAGTTACTTCAATACACTTTATTTTAAAATAATTTTTACAATTTTAATGATGTATTTTAAATAATTATAATCCAGGAAGTTCTACCCTATTACTCGGGTATAGGTCACACATTTTTATCCAACATTTTGATTGAAAATAAGGGGTGCAACCTATCCACACGACATCAGTGATCTGAATTAGATGGCGGCGCGTGGCCATGGCTAGAGCATATGCGAGAGCTAGGGAGAAAACAAATTTTCCCCCAATATTTCAATTTTATGCAAACGCCTCTTCCAACCGTATCGTACCACACATCAAATTAAATCTGCAATGCTCATATTTACCATTTGTAATCTGATTCACCATTAAAAGACTGTCATTTACAAGTAATTTTAGGACTGAGGCGATCATCAAAGTTTTTGTCTTAATAGATCAGCCCCACACTCGATAAGGAAATACCATGCCATTACAACCAATCACAATTTTGCTTACAGGTGTTCAGTGTGGAGAAGTCATTTATCCAAAAAGTTGGATTGTCCTCTGCCAACGCTCAAGCAGAGGAAAATCATTTTTCATGTTCAAGAGAGATCATGTAGTTTATGAAAATTATTTTTCAGTTTTCAAGTTTTTATGGAAACACATTGTGATGTTTATATTTACATTAAAAAAGGGTTATCTAACTCCTTATATTCTAGTGCTACCTATTGGCAAGTTAACCCCAAATAACCACTTTGACCATCTTAATTCATGGGTCTGACTTATCCACTGGTGTGTCCTATATGCAAGTATATATGGTAATAAAAATATTAGATTAAAATTGAAAAGCACAAATAATGAGGTGGCTTTCAAGAAAAAATCTCTCACATACCTGTTGGTCGAGCTCCAAGTATGTTTTCAAAATGAGAAGTAATGTTTCAATTGAGTGGCTTTCTTGGAACAGTTTCAGTCGTGCTGCTTCATTCTTTATTGTGAGATTACCCAGGACAAAGCACAGCCGAACTACCAAGTCCTGAAATATTCCACATTGTAAACATCACACCAAAAAAAATAACTTACTTTAGATGTCTTGTGTTTAAATTGTTATAATGTCAAATTTTGTCTTGGTTTAAAAATGTATTTATTTATGTGCTGAAAATGAATATGTAGATGTAATAAAAAAAACACTTCCATTTATTTGGATCAATAAAGAATATTATCTTATCTTAATTCAAATTTGACAGAGAGGAAAGAATTTATATTTCAATGAGATATTTTTATGGGACAAAAAAATGGTTTCATACTTCTTTCAGTACATGCCTCTTGAGGAGATGCACAAAAGCTTTGTAGCATGTTGGTTGATTCGCTAATACTGAGCAGCAGTCTGTGTGAAGGGTTATTTTACTGTCAGAAGAAATGAGTTATTTAAAATTAGAGGAGCACATTTAAAACACTTTATATTTATAATGAACAACAACTCTATCTTATCTACTGGTCATTATATTTTATATAATTGGAATATACTGCTAGCTATTACGTATAATCTTATTATTCCTAGCACTGGAGGATGAGATTAAATACTGCTTAAAGTGAATTAAGAAATTATTAGATGATTTTATAGGTGATTCGTTACTGTGGACTTTAAAAAAAAATTATTTATGAAACACTGGGAATGACAATTTTAAGAAATTAGCTCCGGATATCATGAAAAAAAAAATGTACTAACAAAATATTTTTAGTCTGACTGCTGTAACATTATCAGAGTAAGACTCTATTTGCAGTGGAAAAATTCTAAGACCTACCTAAATATTCTAGAAATATACATCATCAAATCACTATCCCCCGAGTAAGAATCCATAAGATGTACAAGACCTTCTATAACATTGTGAGTAAGAAACCTATCTCTCCCAGAGGTGGTGTCTGCAAGATTTCTTAGAGCAGCTGTAAGCTAATTGGGAGGAGAAAAAATACACGTTTTTTAATTAAAAGATAAATAAATCTGAAGCACAACTTATTACCGATTCTCACTAAAAACTTGCAGCTTTGTGTTTAAATAAGCATTTTAAGAACTATTTAGTTTTTATTTTGCTATTAAAAAAAAATGTCAACAGCGGTGCATCTAAAAAGTTTATGAGCAAATTATGAAGTTAAAATGACAGAAACATAATATGGACTTTAATTTGTACCTTGGAATACCTGATGTCACAAGACTTTACAACAAAATGTTTTAAGTAATAAAGTATACAATCTTTTTGACAATTATTCATTCCTCATTTTTTTATAATTCACTTGATTATTATAAAACTGAATATTTTTTACTTGAAAACTATTTATTACAAATAATCTCATAGTTAGATGATAAATTTCAAATTTATAAAATATGTAAATTGGTAATTTATGGAACAGATTGAAAGGGAATTTATTAAGTACTCACTTGAACAAGGATATGTCCAAACTGGTCACCTGGTTTTCCATTCTCTTTGTTCTGTGGGACAAAAAAAAACAAAAACAAGAATGTTAAGATGTCTATAATGTGCTAAGAACTAAGTATGTAACTTTTCAATTAGTATCAGCCTGGAAAATAATTTGAACTGTTTCATTGAAATTAGATGTCAAATAAATTAAATATAAGACTTAAAGTTAGACCTAGAAGTTAAAATGTACAAGTTAATTAAATTATTCCATGAATTTATGTTATACGCATTTGTAAATATTTCACCCAATAGTCCATTGTATTTTATTTTCAGAAAATTCCAGTTACAGAAATCTTAAAATAGAATAAACATTGCTCACAATTTTGTTTATGGAATGCATGAGTGAGGCCAAAGTTTTGACACAGTCCAACTTGGCAAGTCTTTTTAAGATGTCAGGATTCCCAGTTAGAAACTTGACTGCACCAACACAATATATTAGGGCCTCACATGACTGATTGGGGTCGGCATTCCTGATAGTTTCTAGAAGTAAGTCTGATAAAGGCAAGATCAACAGTTAACCTTTGAACAGTCTTGGTTTTTAAGTTTTTTGAAAAACATGTATAATAAATCAAGCCTCATCCGAGTTATATGATATTTTGAAAATTTTAATTCAATTTAACAAACAAAATTGACAAATACTTAGGTTCTCTTCATACTAACAATAAGAGTTTTGGACTGCAATAAAGCTTTAAAACAAATTAGTTAGACACAAACATACTAACAAACTTACTAAACTTACTTAGTATATTTTCTTCTAAAAAATAAGAATCATTCTTGTCATTGCGGCTGACCTTGAACACAAGCTTGCATACGTTCAAAAGATTGTTTCCACTCACTTTAAACTGTCATAGAAAGTAAAAGCAACAAGCTTACACAATATTTAAATAAAAGTATATGTATCTATTAAAACAATCCATCTTAGCAGCAAAACAAAAACCTTTAAAATTCACAGTTTAAGTATCAGACTGATCAGATGTATAGTTAATTAAAGGTTAATTGTTCCACAATGCATAGATAATTTAGTTGAAAAAATAGGTACATGGTGAACCAGTGCAATAGTGTATAGATATGAGGCATAAAACTTACTGCAAGAATAAGTCTAGCAAGTCTCAATAAGACCCTAGGCTCATCTACATCCAAAAGTTTAAAAATTGCCTTCAAAAGACTTGACCTATGAGGAAACTGTTTAGACAAACAGTTATGACACTCCAGAGTACTGTACAGATGTCCAGCCAGTTCATGGATGCGATCACAGTCTTTTTCTAGAAATCAGAGTGGACAAATAATTAGGGGCAATTGATGATTTTTTAAAAATTAAACAATCCTAAATTATAAAAACTTTAAACTGGATGATAACAAACAAGAAATTAAAATATTTATCACATCAAATTTATTTATTCATTACAACTTTGATGAAATGATGTTTAGAATGTTCAGTAATACTTTTGAAATTAATTTTGCACTTTCTTATCCTTTAACAAAAAACAACAAAACAAATCAAAAACAACAGCTGAATCTAATTGAACCACTCAACATATCCCTTTCCAGATAGTTCAATGGGAACATGAACTTAGCCTTTGCATGTAAGATTTTTTGTAAACAATCAGTTGTATATTTAGATGTTTTTTTTAATCATATGAATGATTACATATGAAAAACACTAATCTATTCACACTTTAATTTTTTTTTGTTCACATTGTCTGGAGCTAATTTTATACATTTACACTGAGGTAAACACTTAAATTGCTCTTTAAATGTAGTTCATATCATTACTACAGTTGATGTCTTTGATATAACTACTTACATTCTGCCAAACGGTATTAACTTACCATAGTCATGCTGCTATTAATTAACCATTTAGGTTTATGCATATATCTCCAATTTACTAGGAACCTACTTTTTGTCAATGATGCTAGTTCTGCTACCAGAGGCTCAAGTTCTGATGTGTAAAAATCTTCTGATTCTTGTGGATCATGTTTTCCAGCACTGCCTACGATGGATTATAAAAAATAACGTGTGTTTCAAGCCAATTTATGATTAAATACTCAATTATTTATTTGCTTACTAGCTATTTAATTTTCTTACAATTGAAAACAAACTTTCAAAGGCAAGCTTTTAAAAGCAGATTTACCAGTTCGATTTAATTTTCCAGCGCTAGATTTCCGACTGCCTGCACTGCCTTCTCTACTCTCACTGGAAGTGGGATATGTAACACTAATTTGAGAGTCCCCGGCTCCAGGGCTATTGAATTCCGTTGGTACTTTATCTCTAGATGATTCTGAGTAGATGTAGTCTATTTGATACAAATGAAGGATGAACATATGTTTTAGAGATATGGACTTTAAAAGACAAATGTAAGAAAGCAAATAATTGTATCCTGAAAAGTGCAAACGCTTGAATATGACAAAGAATCGTATAGTATTTAGGCACCTCAAGTTTGCAATTTTACAATATCTTCACTGGCATTAAAGGTGTCAGAAGAAGAGTGCGGTAAACAGAGCTCAAACTAATAATAAACCTATTGCCTATAAAATGATACATCCAAAAGACAACCTATTTGGATCAATTAATGGGATCAATTTTTTCCTCGTCTTAAAATTGTTATTGAAAGTTTAAAAGGACGTAGGGAGATAATAAGCATGCCCATTCTTATGGTATAATCATTTGTGATTACAAGTGAAAAAGTGATATTATTTAAATCATGAATTTGAAGACCAGAAAAAAAAAAACTGTCATTATAACACCATTTTTAATTCATATCCATCAAAAGTAAGTTAACTCACCATCTCCTTGGCCAGAACGAGAAACTGAGTTTTCTACACCTTCTAGGCTCAGAGTTGAAGGGAGACGAGTTCGGTTTCCAGAGCCACGTCTGGGTGCAGACTTGGTAGGCTCAACAGGCGGAGGTCGGGGCACAAGAATGTTTTCAAGATCTCCAGGACTTACAGCCTTAGGATGCTGGCAAAGAAATCACACCAAACATTAAGATGGTATCATAAAACTGAAACACATGCAGTCCTCCAAAACAGCTTTAAATCTGTATGATACATCCATACAATTGATCGAGGTGAATGTTTGACCAGATGTTAAATATAATGATTTATATATATTCCGAATTTTAACTATTTTATCAACCACCATCTACTAGAGTTTTGGAAGTGCCAGATTGAAATGACTTTTGATATTGCTAAATTAAGTTAATTACGGTAACAACTTCTATGGAAACACTGAAAAACTTACAACAACATTGCTTTCTTGTCTTTTAGTTGGCTTCATATGGACAAAACAAAACAAAAGGGTTTTAATTGTCTGGCTTTGAGATCTCAGTTCTCTTTTCTTAAATCTACTCTTAGGGCAAGTTGACTACTAAAACATTTAGCACCCTTTGTGAAGGATAATAATGGTGATCATCCCTTTTTTTTTTTTTGCTGGATTTATTTATTTAATTCAATTTAAACTGAATAAATCTTACATGATCTAATGGTGATAATCGTGTACCAGATACTGGTCTTGAATCTGCTCCTTCAAAGTGACGAGATGTCAAACTAAAAAAGGACACAGGAAGTTATAGTATTCTTTCTTACTTATACACATACTTAGTATTTCATTTATATATAATTTAGAAAAAAAAAAATTTATTTGTTTAAACATAATTTTGCAATATATTATTATTGTAAAAGTAACTTACAGATGCATGTTACCCATGCTAAACATTTTTTAACTCTTTCACTCCGGAATTATTTTCAGCGTTCTGATGAATTATCAAATTTTGCATATTTGTTAGCACTGCTATGCTATCTCTAAACCATCATAATGTTTTGGTTTTTATCACAAAATGCTAAGTTTGGTATGGAATTAAAGAGAAATGTATGCCCTTTACAAGCAAACCAGACTTGGGTTTAAATTTTGATACATAAATTTGTCATATCTTTTCATCTGGGTTTAGCCATGGTGAGCCTAAAGAAAAATCCATATTGATGTGCACTTTAGCTGGGGCGGGGCTGGTTGTTCATCTACTGATGAATTACCAATATCATTATTTCGTCACTAGTCCTACTAATAATAAAACTAGGATTATAATCATATGATTCAACAGAATCAGCGTCGGCATTTGAAATCATATAATCACTGTCTGCATCATCATCAGAGAAATATTTTCGACCTTTATTAGATCGATCACAAGATGGGTTAGGTCAAGATTTCATGTTTGTAAACAAAAATAAAATGGACAATCAAAACAACGGCTTCAAACACTTCGTTCTCTGCAAAACCTCGTTCAAACACAGAAAAAATGGATTTTTATAAAAAAGGAAATCATTCTAGAATTGATTTAAAATAATTAAAAACCAATAGCTAAGAAAAGAACCGAAATAAACAGGGTTTTATACATCGACGATACGCCAAAATCTTCATTTCAAATCGATGATGGGAGCGTTGTTCCGGAGAGAAAGAGTTAAGTGCCTGAAAAATATTAACCATCTTCTTCTTCTTCACTGATGTTAAAATAATCTAGACATTTTGAAGTATGCACTTACAGTACTAGACTTATTAATTTCTATCTCTAATAAAGGTGTTAGTTTTAAATGATCACCTGAAGGCACTTGGTGGTCTGGTTTCAGGTGTTCTGCTAGTAGATGAAGGAAATAAATGTCTCTGTTCATCACGTGGAGTATTTGGGCGTCTTGTGTCAAAGGTTCGAAGTGATGAGCGAGCTGCACTTACAATCTGAGAACTGGTTTGGGTCTTTTCAGGCAAGGCATAGAATGGCTTATTTACTTTTTTATTTTCCATTTGAATTAAATCTGATGTTACACTGGAAAATGGAATGGTTAGAAATTACATATAAATGATGTTAATAGTAATCTAAAATAAAATTATACTTTGTAGGCCTATAGACGATAGCTCTTAAACAGGGTCCACCAGCCCTGTCAAATATTGCTCCACAATAAATGCGTGATTTATTTTAAAAAAAAAACAACTTATTCATTCATCATTCAGTTGACAAAGAAACCGATTTTAAAAATTTGAGGGAGAGAATAGACAAAAAAAGATCACATTAGTTTATTTTTATTTAGTTTTGTTATTTTTCATTTTATTATGGGCATTAAGATTAGATTAAAAATGCTTAATTGCATTTGGTGGGTGTTTATTTTAATATTACGTTATGTACATGTGGCCCGCAAAAGGTTTACTCGCTATCAAAGTGTCCTAAGAGGCATTATGATTTGGCCACACCCAGTCTAAAAGATCTAAATTAAAAGTATTTACTTTGTCTTTTTTACTTAAAGTTGTCTTGAACTTATGAAATGAGCTTTAAATGAGGAGTTTTTAAACAGACAACAACAAAAAGCAAAAAGGTTTAAAAATTATGGCTGCGCCAGTAAGCAAATTGGCCTATAACAGATTGATGGGTTTTGCTATTACAATTACAACCGATTAGTGATTAATAGGCCAGTTATTATGCATTTTAATCATTGCAAAAAAGACTTTACATCACCATCACCAGTGGCGTAACAACGGCTTGGCATTGGGGCTGTTGCCAAGGGCGCCGGCCTGTGCCAGTTCAAAAGGGCGCCACTAAATCTCTAATTTTTAAAATTTTTATTTGAACAAAAGGGCGCCAAAATTAAATTAGCCAAGGGCGTCAAAAACCCAGTTACGCTCATATCACCTAAAACTAAAATGTTCTGCCCCACTTGGTATATGTACTGTATAAGTATAAGGCTTAGAGTAAAGCGGGGCATTAGGCTTAGGCACCACCAAGCACACATTCACATACAGTCCTAAATCGTCTATGCAATGACCAAGACAATTAGGAAATATTAAGCAGAATTGTTTTCAGAGGCTCTGTGCCACCACACTGATTGAACTGCAATTTCGATTTTTTGTGGGCTAAAGACTAAAATAACTCAAAAATAAAATAATAGGGTAGGCCTAAGACTAATCACTAACTAATATACATATTAAGTGTCTACTAATATTAAATTACAGCCTAAGCTCCCTAGCCCCTACTCTCTGGTACCTAGGGCCCTAACTAGTCCTGGTCTAAGACTAAAGTACTAATTCTAGAATTAAAATTAAAGTTAGAGCTACATTTAATTAAGTATTAGGGACTACTGGTTTTCATTTGTTTAAATATGCATATTTCATTGATAACTATTGTCTCACCAGTGTTCATTTATTTTGAAAAATAATTAGACAATTAGTGTTTATGTACTTTCTAAAGTGTACATCTTTTGATAAACTGACTGACAAAATAAATGACAAACGTAAACAAAAATCTCCACAGACGGAATGCTAGTCGCCGGATATATTCGTTTCGCATGCGCAAAGATATCTCTCTAATAATCTTCATACTGAAAAGTTTAATTTAAGGTAATTCTTTGTCAACCTGCGCACGGTGATGATAAAAATGTTACGAGCTGGCAATTTATGCGTCAATAGTCAATAGACTACTCATTAAATAAATAAATAAATAAATATACATATATATATTTAGTGAAACCCCAAATAACGAATTAATACGTTCCGTGACTCCGTTAACAAACCGAAACGCTAATAATGGCTAATGAGAAATTAAAACAGTTTCCCCATTGAAATCAATGTAATTCAATTAACATCTGATCTCCCAGATTGGGAATATTTTGTTTGTTTGTTGTTGTTTAGTTTTTAAACAGTCATGTATTTTTTTAAATACTTCGTTTACTTTTTTTTTTTTTTACTTTCCGAAAAAAACATTTCTAATTCTTTATTGTTTCTTGTTTTGTCTTTGCTGAAGAAAGCATCTTTCCAGAACGTTTTTTTTTTGTTGTTGTTTTTTTAAATTAATTTTAATATTTTGTTTGTTTGTTGTTGTTTAGTTTTTAAACAGTCATGTATTTTTTTAAATACTTCGTTTACTTTTTTTTTTTTTACTTTCCGAAAAAAACATTTCTAATTCTTTATTGTTTCTTGTTTTGTCTTTGCTGAAGAAAGCATCTATCCAGAACGTTTTTTTTTTGTTGTTGTTTTTTTAAAATAATTTCAACTCTTAACACATCTTGTTCCACTATGGCTATTCAATTCAACCTAGGTCCTAGGTCTACTCATGAGATCTGCTTTCATTGTCAGCCAACTGCTAAGTTTTATTTTTGCGGAAGCGGGCGACAAAAATATTATTCTCCTTCCCTAGCGGTACTAACCATAACTACGTCTGGTGTTGTTGTTTTTTTAAATATACGCGTGCTGCTAAAGTGGATTTACTATTCTTATATTCTCTACTTCAAAACCAAAATACCATATCATCTTAGCACAGCCGTCACGTGGGCCCTGCACCACTACGTCTGCAGAGGGCCTCGGATATTTAAGGGGCCCAACATTTTGTCGAGGGAGAAATAAACTATCAGCTTTGAATGCAAGAGTTATCAAACCGAAAATTGGCAGGGGGGCCTCCAAAATTCATGCGACGGCTCGGAATTTGAAGTGGAACACATTTCCGTTTGTTTGCCAGTTCGTTTTGGAAAACCGGACCCTAATTTGATTAATATAATTGGATCATCCTGGATAATAAGACAACGAGAATTATCATTGACATCTGGCCGTTTAGCAGGATTCTCCGTTATAATGGTATCTCATTTACATGAATTCACACTTGCATTCCCGTGTTTTTCATTAGTTACATCCTCAGAATCTGTGGACAGTCACGTGGTTAGGGTTTAGTGCTGCCCGAGACGGGAAACGATTTCCCTAGCCCCATTCCACGAAAGAACTCTGTATTTGTCTCACCCCCCCCCCCCCCCCCCAAAAAAAAAAAAAAAAAAAAAATTACAAAAATCGACCCCTCTGTATAAAGAAAAAAGTGACATCCGGACCACCACCCCTTTCCATGTTCTGTGTCACTGTCTGAAAACCGTAATGAACAGATTTGCCGTCCCTTGAAGAAATGACCGTTTAGGCAGGAGCCTGTATTGTTTAAACCTAAACATAGAACTGGCAGCACCATACCTGTTATAAAAGGTTATGACTATTACACATAAACATGTCTTATAATGTTTACCATATGTGAAGTGCATGCTTAATAATAGAACAGAAGCCATGTCGCTTAGTCAGAGCCAAATGCTCACTAAACACCTACTTCACCTCTAACAACCCCATAAGCAGTTACATCCGGAACAATAGTAAATGCTTCAATGTGCCTCGGTGTAACACAGTCAAATATAAACAATCCTTCTTCCCACGCACAGTCATCGCTTGGAACCACCTGGACAATGCCGCCGTAAACTTGATGTCAATCGAAAGCTTCAAGGCTGCCCTGGCATCCGCTAGGAGCCGTTAAAAATACCAGCATCGCATCCCCAACCGTTGCACATATGCCAGTATATGGATTCAGCAACGTACCCTACCAGAACCAGAACCGGACATCATTAATTAATTACTAGTCTACCCAACTTATAAAATAAATTCCCTTAAAACGTCAGAGTTGTTGTAGTCATATGACTAAAAATTGATGGCACTGATGAACTAAATGTTCTTTGTTTCAGCTCATTTGGAGATCAGGAAGTGGGTCAAAATTGAGGTGCAAAATTTGACGACTCACTAACATAGAGCAATCTAAAAAATTAGTAATACGATATCATTTTATTTCATGGCCGCCCACTCTTCTTCTTTATTATTAAAAAAAAAAATTAAAGTTGTTTTATATTGTTTTATTTTCAACTTATATTAGTTGAAGTGTACAAACTTTCAGCCCCATTGTTGATCAGGTAGTGGGTCAAAATTGAGATGCAAGATTTGTCCGTCCCGCAGAGGGCACTCAAGGGTCAGTGGAGGTCTCTGGTGACCTTTAGATCATGAAGCGTTGTAATGTCACAGGAGGTTATAAAGTGGATACAGTTTCAGATCAATTGGAGATCAAGAGGCGGTTCATAATTAAGATTTTAACCGCAGAGGGCACACAAGAGTCAGTAGAGGTTTTGTGACCTACTGATCATAAAGGGTTATATTGTCATTTTGGGGGGGGGGGCAAGATATTGTACACAGTTTTAGCTCAGATAAACATCAGGCAGTGGGGAGAAAATGTGATACAAGATGAGACTACCGGTACCCACAACCCAACGAAGAGACAGAGCAACCTAAGAAAAAGCGAAAAAAATATATATTATCCGCCATGCACACGTTTATATTTTCGCGCTTTTACCTTCAGCAGCTGTGCACCTAAACAAACGCACGTTATGACGTCAAAAATCGCTCCATTACCATAGCCATTTATATGGATTCATATTTTGCAAAATTAAACTTGACGGTGGAATATTCGCACTGTTTGATCAGATATTAATTAATATATAATACATTTTAAAAAAAATCAATTTGAACATACGTGAGCACATTGCACACACGCCGGCGTCAGAAGCCAAGGTAAGCAGGACAACGCCTCTACGGAGACAAAATAGCTAAGCATAAAAAATTGGATAACTTTTTTTTCGCGGGAGTTCGCTTGGTTTCATTCAGCCTTGTTTGCCTCTCGGAAATAATAAGTCGGTAGGCCTATATCATTGTCTAACTCAGCTCCCCTTTCTATTTTTATAACCAGCTGTCATCTACATTATTTCAAAATAAAATTATAGTATAGATCTAATACTTCTAATTCTAATAATAACCCCCTTTGACGAATAAAAATCACATTATTATGTAAACTATACATAGTTAAATTAAGTTAGTTAGCTTTAAATTAAAGGGGGCCTCTGACATTTTGATTAATGTTAAACTCCAGGAACTGCATTATGGCAAGCAGCATGTTTAGTGCTTTGCATCATACTCTTTATAATCATAGTATGGTTCATGTTTTAAATAACTATAATGTTAAAAATGCGTGGAATTCAAAACACGACATATCCTAGGCCATGGACCATTGCCATCTTAAGGCACTGACCAGGGCATCATGCTTCTTGGAGGCTCATTCTTTTAGATTTAGAGGAATCATGCTTTACATATTTATTGTTAATTAATATTGAAAGATTTTGGGAATTTAATTTGATTTAAAAGTCAGCGGACAGCAGGTTTCTCAATTTTAACCCACGATATTATTGGCACATTCCAAAAGTAATATTATATTGCGAATCACAAGTTGGATATTTCTTAAAGGGGGATAACTATCGTCAACAAAATTAAATTCTCCCAGCTATTGATATGAATCGAAAAAAAAAAATAAGACTAATATTTGTGTTTATAATCATGTTAGACTATAATGTTAGTCACACTATCTACGCCACTGTTCCTTACTCATTAGTGAAAATAGATGAGAAAAGCAGTGCTGCCTTAAGGCATGGGCACAATGCGCGCTTGCCCAGGGTCTCAATATCAACTCTGGCTCGAAGGGGGTCTCATTCATTCATGTCTCTGCCTCTAGTAATAAGTAAGTTCTAGGGCAGGGCCTAGGGGCATTAGCCTGCCAATTTTATTATTATTATGAAAACTTACAATTTTTGGCAATGTATTATGCTTTCAAAGTGAAAGAAGAAGACCGTTTCTCCAGTTTATATTTATAAAGACATTATTTTTATTCACACATCAATTCAAGTTTTGGTACTAGCTTTAGAAAAAGTTTCTTTTCTTAAATTGTCAATTGATAAAAAAATAATCCATTAATCATTTTCTCGGTTGGGTCGGGGGGGGGGGGGTGGTTAATCAAATAGTCTTACAAAAGGCACCAAACATTCATTATTTAGTAATTTAAATGAAGAAAGTTATATTAATTATTACTAGCTTTAGAAAAAGTTTCTTTTCTTAAATTGTCAATTGATAAAAAAATAATCCATTAATCATTTTCTCGGTTGGGTCGGGGGGGGGGTGGTTAATCAAATAGTCTTACAAAAGGCACCAAACATTCATTATTTAGTAATTTAAATGAAGAAAGTTATAATAATTAGAAATTACAAATAAACTTTTTAAGTTACTGCATTTGTTTGGAAAGTCACACTGTCTCATAGAGCTAGCCTATATTAGACTTCTTTAGTAGATTAACCCTTCAATCTTCATAATATAGGGCTTGTTCTTTTATTCATTCATCACAACTTTCTGCTGAAAGATACTAAAAGCTACCCAGGTTGTAGAGCTGTAATTTTCTTAATCTTGGAGTCCTAGGGTTCACTTTTTAATAAAAAAAATATATAAAAAAAAATATTTTCTCATGTTAGCGATGTGAACAGAACCATGGCATGACTTTTGGAGGCCCTGTGACATTTTTTTGTTTTTAAGCTATTCGATGCAATTTAAAATAATTTCCATTAATTTTTTTTCCTTATTAAAAC